AGAATGCTGAAAAAGAATAGTGAACAATTCAAATTTAATATATTAATTATATTATTTTGGTTTTATATAAAAATGTTGTTGTTGATTTTTTTGGCAGTTTCTTTTTGTGTTAAAACATTGTTTTTATTGTAATTTATAATATGTATTTTGAAAAGTTATATTCACCATTGACTTCCTACAATTACGTTTTCCCCAGACTACTGTACATTGTTTTTAATGTAAATGCCATAAATTTATTCACCAAATAAAAAGAAACTGTCAAAAAAATATGCAAACACAAAACATAATCTTGGAAAATTGTCCAGATTTTTAAAAGAGTACTTGAATATTTGAACTTCCTTATTTTTTTGGAAAGTATATTTAAAAAACATTGTCTGTTTTAATTTGTTGCTTGAAAATTTGCCAATTGAGTTGTATTGGGCTATAATTATATTATTTATAAAACTGAGTTTGTTTCATGTCATTTCATATATGGAAATCCACTTACCATATATGTATGAATCTAATTACAATATATTTATAAAATTGAGTTTGCTTCACGTCATTCCATATATGGAAATCTACTTTCCATATATGTATGAATCTATTAAATTACAATATATTATTTATAAAATTGAGTTTGCTTCACGTCATTCCATATATGGAAATCCACTTACCATATATGTATGGATCTAATTACAATATATTATCTTTATTTGTTGTATTATAATTCCTATGGTCTATTATCATTCCACTTTTCCCATATTTGGATTTGTTAATTCCATATATGGTGTTCTGTTTTGTTTTATCAGGTGAATTTCATATAGTGTTGTGTATATTTGTTGAAACATTCAGCTTTAAGTCATTTGTGATACTTAAAAAAAAAATAATCGGATACATTATTTAAAAAAAACCACACATTTCTTAGCAGGGTGTTTTGCTTCCTTTCCATAATTAACTTGAGGTCGGATATCCAAAACAAATTAGCATATCTTAAATATTGTCTATACACTTTGTATTACATTTCCTTATTTAAAACTTGCTGCTCTTGTGTCGTTACTTACTATAGATTCTTGACCAAACATTGTCAGACGCTTTGGTGTTGACGTCAATACATTATACTTACAACAATTGTAGAACTCAACAACTTTTAACTCATTAATGTAATTAGATGTTTTCATATGCAAATTTTTACTATTCTTAAAAATTACTTTCTATAAAAAAAACAAAAAAAAATATGTTGCATCTTTCATAATGTTAGTCAAACCCAGTGGTCAATTTCATTTGCTTTATCTTTTGTAAGTATGCCTATACATGGATAAATATCTCTATCATTCCTTTTTCCCTAAGCTCGGTTCTCATTTATCAGTTTTTCGTTATGACCCTCTCGAGGCTGGCAATAAAATAATTTATTTAAAGATTTTATTGATTCATATGAGATTTAACCTTTCTCTGTATTACTGTAAAAAAAAAATGTAGTTGTGGTTAGGACATTTCAGAACCAAGTTGAAATGCTTTGTTTTGTTTACATACAGCGTAAAAATGCAGTACATATGAATAACAGAGATTTTAAGGCATCTCACTAGCTCATCAATTTCATTTTAAGATTATACATATCGAAAACCAATATGGACCTATCATTGTTTCAAGGATGTTGTAAATTTTGATATAAGTGTTAGGATTCCAAAAATGTGGTATTGTGCAATACATTTCACCATTCCGTTCCAGAATATTCTAGATAGTTTTCTTGTATTATTTTTGCTTGTTCGGGAAATGTTTTAAATTTGGATTCATGCTTTTTTTTTTAGGTCTTCTTTGTAAAGCAGTTGACACTCAGTTTGGAACTGAGCAATTAGCATGTAAATATGCAAATTAGTCTGACAAAGCACTCCATTGATTGGCCAATTAAAATTAATATTCAAATGAACTGCCATATTTGGAGTCTAAACAGTGATAATTCACCTCCTTATATGATTGTGGTGAGAGACTATTTTTTAAAACGTGTTTTTACATTGCAATAATTTTTAAAAATCTTACCCTAGAGAGACAGTATAGATGTTTTTCTCTCTATTATTCTAAAGAATTTTTTTTTAAACCAAAGTTTGCAGTGCAATACTAACTGGACACCAGGGGGTGTCACTCTTGGCCCACTTACTTGCCTATATGTTGACAGTTTGCAATATTTAACCAGAGTAGCTCCCCCTGGTATTTTTTTTTTGCCATCTTATGTGTGAGTTTGTCACGTTTCAGGTTTCATTTTTTTTTTAACAGTAAATTGTATTTCTTGTTGCTGTAAAGTTTGCTGCCATTTGTAGATTAGTTGTGTGTGTTACATAAGAGCTTTTGTTAAAGATTCTATTTGCAGTTTATTTTATTTGTCTTTTATTTTATGGCATCGCCAAGAGACCTGTATATGATGCCGGAGAAAAATATTGAAGATATAACCATTTTTGTGGTTTTTAGTATTTGGTGTTACATCTGTATATATTTGCAATTTTTTTTTTCTTGTATTGGATTAAAATATATGCAAAAAATAAAGTGTTTTCTTCTGAATATACATCACAGTCTTAGCATTTTTTTATGTTCCCAACTGACATAATCCGGAATCTCACTTGAAGTAACATCCTATTTTTAACATGATGAATACTTCCCCGTCTTTTATTTTTAATAAATTTACATATTTTACAATTTCCATGACCCCCTATAATTCATACATACATAATTCATACCTGGTACTTTTGTTGGTATGACAATATGAGAAATGTGAAGCATTTTAATTTGTCTTTTTGTTCCTAACAGTATCATTTCACTCTAGTAGTAGAATTTGTGCTGAAATATGAATAAATTAAATAAAAGTACCTGGATGTATGACCTTTAGAGGTCACGAAAGTACCTGGATGTATGACCTTTAGAGGTCATGAAAGTACCTGGATGTATGACCTTTAGAGGTCATGCATGTGACCTATTGAGAGTTTCTAAAAACTTGATAATGACTTAATGTTGTGTGTGCTTAACTATTTCCAATTTTGTGCAAAGTTACATGACATGCAACTTGAAACTCTACGCTTTTTTAATAATTTCTTAAAAATCTCAGATTTCAAAGAAAATTTGTGCACAGGGAGGTTTAGATACTCCATAGATTTGGCGTTCACAGTTGGTCATAAAATTTACATAAATTAGCCAATTTTCAGCTGTTCCACATGCATCTCGTGAACCACTTCCATGATTTCTATGAAACTTTGTACATTGATGCTCTCTGATAAAATCCAACAGACGTGATTACTTAGAATTGTGACCTGGCATTATTTAGTTAATTTGCATTTGCTCCACTGGCCTACAGCTAACACCCCTGGCTCAGCATTCCTTCTGACACATTCAAAGCTAAGATAATTGTCTTCCATGCAACCAGCTCTACTGGTGTACAGATAAAACCCCTGACCTAGCAATCTCTTCTGACACATTCAGAGCTTAAAGAATTGTCCCCATGCAACCAACTCTACTGGGCTATAGCTTACACCCCTGACCCAGCAATCTCTTCTGACACATTCA